GCGTTGGGCTGTTGTTCTGTCCGTTTTGCTCTTGCTGTGGCTGGCTCGCGCGCTGCGCGGTCCTTGCTTTTTTCCCGTTGGTTTTCGAGCCTTCTGGCGCGCGCGCGCGACCCCAGCCACAAAAACGCTGCTATTTGCGGTGGTTTGTCGCGTTTGCGTTTCCGGGCTGGTTTGCGGGCTGCTCTTTTTGGGCTGCTGTTTCTAGGGCCTCTGGCGCGCGCGCGCGCGACCCCATGTCAGCCTTCTGGGTTGGGGCCCGGCTGGGGCCCAGAAAGCTGGCATCGCCGGCATCATCTGGGGTTGGGGTGGGCAACATGCAAAACCTAACCAGCCATAACATAGCACAGGATACATTTCTCATACAAAAAGCATGACATGACATGGTATAACTTCAAAGAGGCGTAGCCGGCTAGAGGCCGCAGGCCCAGAAAATAAGGTTGATCCATTTGATTTTGCCGCATTCTCAAGTGTCAGCGGAAATGGCTGCCAGAGGTAGCTAAGTGGTCAGCAACCCTACTTACAAGGGTTTATACAGGTTAATGAGGGTTGACTGGAGGTTAACTAATTGCCTAGTCCGTGGACCATCCAAGGTTCCCAAGGTCATGCTTTGCATTCCACGCACATTCCTGTGTAGTGGGAAGCCCAGACATTGTCCAAGAGTGCATAAAGAAGAACCTTCCGTTGGTTCGACCTGGCCAGCAATTTGCCGCTCGCTCGCCGCGAAACTTTCCCAATGGGTAAATCTGTTTGTGCTATTTGGCCCCCCTTCAGTTGAACTGCGGCTTTCCCCGTGCCCAAAACCTTCAAGGCCGCACCAAACCCCATAGACCTCGACCTGGCCACGCTGGTGGGGCCTACAGAATCAAGCGGTACTAAAGTAACCACCACTTTCGTCCTTCAAACGGCAAGTTCGGTAAGAGGACGCGCCCGGCCTTGACAGCTGCTGCCTTGGCCTTGGCCTTGCCCTTGGCCTTGGCCTTGGCCTTTGCCCTTGGCAGCTCAGCGTTCACCCCCCAACCGATGACCCCCCGCAGTGGATGCGGGCGCGGCCTGAGTTGCTGCTGGTTTTGACACCTTTGAGTCAACACAAGTTGGACCCCTTTTTAAGGTCATGCTACATGTGCTTTCAAAACAGGGGTGCCCTGAAACCAGACGCAATCACATGGAAACCAACATACAACCGGCCAGTAGAAGGGGCTCGCGAGGCGACCTGCGAAAAAGGCAGCCCAGATGTTCTTTTCTCAACATGGAACCCCTAAATCGGTTTGTCTTCAGAACCCAACAAAGGGTCTGCCATTTTGGGAACCCCCAAATGCGAGTCTGCCACGTGGAAGTAAATGTGGGTTCCCCGATGCTAACACGGGCGCCAACTACCGGACCCTACACAATCGGGTGTTCGGTGACTGCCCAAACCACATGCTTTGCATAAAGCGCCTTTTTCTTGGTCAACCGAGCCAATACTTGTGCAATAAGGTGTTCTCAACCCCCCCTCTCCTTCTCTTGACTCTTCCCAAACCAACATTATCATAGCGCGGGAATGTGGGAAGGGTCCATTTCTGTGATACGAATACTACTGAAAGGCCTTCCTAATGACTAATTCTACACTTAGATGGGGGCAACGATGCCCTGGTATCACATACGTTTATTGAATAATCCTAGCACTTCCTTGCAGCCACTCTGGGCAGCATGATTGCAGAGTGTCCTACAGTTGGAATTGTGCCCTTTTGGACGGTGTTGGAAGGGTTGGACGGTGTTGGAAGGGTTGTTGTGCGTAGGACACCCAGCAGTTGTTTAGATTACTATAACTACAACTCACCGACTCACCAACCTGAAATAAGGAATCCATAAGGAGCCCTCATGGACTGGATCGCACGTTTTACCCCAAGCTCGCTCCAAGTTTAAGAGGTCCGATTCCTTTTGTCCCTGGCATAGAGCCCTCAAGTCTGGGATCTCTCTTGATGGGCGAAAAGTACCAAACATGAAATAGATAATATGTAAGGTTTTAAGGTTTGGACATAACATGGTTAATCGGTTCACCAACGTATCTGCATCACTTCCGTAGCGGCGGAGTGAGACCTCCAGGCCTTTCCAGTAGTCCTACCTTGACTTCAACCCGCTCATACAACTGCAGACTTCATGCCTTGTCCGCAAGCTCTCAGCTGCACCATCACCAAAGGATAAGCGATCACATAGTTCTTTAAAATAGGTGTAGGCAATTCATGAACGAATCCGCCAGCTGTGCCCAAATCGACATCAGGCAGTCTGTCGTCCCAGCAGTTGGCGTTTTGATTCTAGCCAGATTGTCTGTGCCATATGTATGCCAGCGCCATGCCTGTCACATATACTACACAGAACAAGTGCTCACCTTCCAGATCTGGGCTTGCTTCCCTACCTCTATCTGTGCGTATAACAAGTGAAACCGCCGCCTGAGTCTGACTCATGTAATTGTCACGTATCTTGTAGTAAAAGCAAAAAGCAGCTACATCGCAATCATTGGTTGCGATCTTGTTCACAATGCTCATGACCTCATTATTTTGTGTCTTGTCCCATGTCCAATGAAATTTGTAGGTCCGAAAGCTAATGGGAGCCCTGGAAGCATAGGCATCACCAGTAATATCCAAGCTTTGCATCCATGGGCGAATAAAACTCGTCTCCTGGAGGCCCCATCCTCAGCCTATGTTGAATCGAAGCAGCGAAAACCGGATCCAATGTAAGCCCGAAGAAGATAGCCAAGAAAGCCTTGCCCGTTTCAAAAGGCTCCCCATTTGGCGGGATGCTCAGCGCTTGTCGACTGCACCCCCAGAAACCCACACCTGCACCAATGTCTGATCGCAAATCAATACGGTCACAAGTTTGCCTATACACCGCATCAATTGCATGTAAGCCACTCTTGAACAACACCCTGACAAGCAATCAACACTAGTTCAATCAAAAGCACTGGTTGGAAGGCAAAAACTAAGTAGTTAAGGTGGCTGTCGCAGCAAGGTACATAGGGACTGCACCCCACAGCGGGATGGTTGGCGACGGTCTGAGTCTTCATTGCGAGGTACATAGAGCGGGGGGGGGGGTTCAGGAGAGGAAACAAGCAATCCGTACAAGAGAAATAAAAAGAAAAGAACAATAAAAGAGAAAGCAATTAAACCTACAAAGATAAAAGGCATTATATTATGAAGAAATATTTTAACCCATCAAAAAGCCAAATAAAATAATAAAATAATGAAGGTAAAAGAAAATATTAACAAGAAATACTAAAAAGAGAACCATTATATCTTCATCATATCATTTTGGATGAGGAATCACATCATAAAGTAAAAGATAAAGAAGAATGCTTTTACGACCAAAAAGAAGAATCCTCTATCCCACTCTTCACTCTATCCTTTCATCTGTCTATCATTCACCTGTTAACCCGTTCCCTATCTCCTCACTGTCGATCCTTTTTAGAGCATCCAGTCCCCCCCCCCCCCAAAAGCAAGACCCCATACTTTTTGGCCAGCAGGAAGTAAACGCATGGAGCCAAAGCTGCACGAAGTGCTTCCACCCAACAAACACAAGGAATGCGAGTCCAGCCGCCCGCAGAAGGGCCATTTCCCAGCAAGCCTTTACCTTCGGGGGGGAGGGTCAAAGGGACCTCATTTGCTTGGTTGGAGTTATCCACTTCTGAGACACAGGTCAATGCTTCCCATTCACACATTCCTCCTAAGGGGCTATACGACTTGTTCCTCGGTATAGTACCAGCCAACCCCCGCGAATGGAAGCCACCATCTCGAACATTCGAGATCTGAGCCCCGTGCTTGGGTTTTGGAGGCATGGCGCCGGGCGTGGTCAGTATTGCACTGTACGCGTTCGTGTGAGGTGTCTAACTGCTTTCCACGGGCAGAGCATTTAAGAGGTTGCCCAAACGCAACTCATGCAAGTTGAACAGCATGAATTTGCATGTGATTGGGCACAGCATGAATTTACATGTGCACCTCGCAAAATGCAACTAGCCAGTGTTCTCTGCTAAGCCGCGGGGCAATCAAGCTTTGCAGCAGCACAGAGTCACTGTCTTGAACACAAATTGATATCTCACAGGCGCTTGGCTTGCCAAAGAAAAAACAAGACACATGTTTGACTCTGGTTCATATTTAGTCTACCCCACACTACAAACTACTTTGGACAGTTGGGGGGCCAAAAACGGATTTCCAAGGGCTCGCTATTTAAAAATGGGACTCCAGCTTTGTCATGTTATACCCCCTGCATAAATGGAAGTACGCCTCCTGAAAGGATAATTGATATTTCTCTCCGACACCATGCTGTTTTGGGCGGGGAGTTCACGTAGGTTTTTAGGAGAGTGAAAGCGAAACCTGGCATCATCGAAGCAGATATATAATCTCGGAGAAAATCTCAGGTGAGCTAAACATGGCAAGTTGGATTGATAGTTTGGAGGTTGGTCCACAACTGACAACCCCCGAACCACGCATCCAAACCACCAACTTAGGGTAACCCCAAAATCCACAAGCAGCTCATATCCCTATTTCGTTGGCAATTGTCAAGGTAAGTCACTCCTTTGCCACCACATGCGGATGATTGGGTGTACTCTCTGGGGCGCTTGGGCGGCGACGATTGAGGGAAATAGGCCGCTGTGTTGGTTCTTAAAGGGAACTACGACTCTTTTCCTATATAGATCTCCAAACACCACACCACCAATAGGAACTTCCAGGGTCTGTCTCACACTCTGGATGGACAAAATCCCACCAGTCGGAATGAATGCAACCCTCTGAAAACTGGGATAAACCTTTTGTCCATCCAAATAGGAAGTGCCATTTCGGATGACTGAAAGGGAACCGAAAGGAAACCCAAACCTCCGGCGCGCGCTCGCGACATATTGCACATAGTCAGTTACTCCCCCTCCTCCACGGGTCAACTAAGCTCGCGAAGCACATAAACAGCAAACGCCAGAACGCCATGGACCAACCGCGGGTGGATGGACGACGGAAGAATGGCCCCTTTTTGTCTTCAGCTCATTCCACTTCATTGGAGTTCATCCTCTCCAGCACCTTGTTCGCCATCTCGATGTCCCTCTCTCGATCCTACCGGATCGCGATGATCAGTTCATGAGAGAACCAGAAGCTATGGGTTCCTGCTGGTATCTGAACCCCTGGTCTGAACTTCGAGCTCCTACGTGGTTGTTTTTTGTGAATCAACCACGATTTCTGGCTTGCCAAGTTGTTGAAACCAGTCAGGGGGCCAACAAATATGGATTCCACCGGATTCGCGCAACCCTAGAATCAGCCTTTGATATGTGTGTGTGTGTGGTGTGTGTGTGTGTATGTGTGTGTGCCTGTGTCTGTGTGTCTGTGTGTCTGTTCGTCTGTGTCTGTCTGTCCGTGTGTCTGTGTGTCTGTGTGTGTGTGTGTGTCTGAGTCCCTGTGTCGTCTTTGTGTCTCTGTATGCGTCTCTGTGTGTGTGCCTCTGCGTGTGTCTATGTCTCTGTGCGTCTCTGTGGGTGTCTCTGTCTGTCTCCGTGTCTCTCTGTGTGTCTCTGTATGCGAGTCTCTGTGCGTCTCTATGTGTGTGTGTGTGTGTGCGTCTCTGTGTGTGTGTGTTGCTGTCTGTGTGTGAGTGGGTCTCTGACTATGCGTGCGTGTGTGCGTGTGTGCGTGTGTGCGTGTGTGCGTGTGTGCGTGTGTGTGTGCGTGTGCGCGTGTGCGCGTGTGCGCGTGTGCGCGTGTGCGCGTGTGCGCCTGTGCGCGTGTGCGCGTGTGCGCGTGTGCGCGTGTGCGCCTGTGCGCGTGTGCGCGTGTGCGCCTGTGCGCGTGTGCGCGTGTGCGCGTGTGCGCGCGCGCGCGCGCGCTGCGCTGCGCGCGCCAGCGCGCGCAGGGCGTGCGCGCGCGTGCGCGCGCGCGCGTGCGTGCGTGCGCGTGCGCGCGTGCGTTGCGCGTCGCGCGTGCGGTGCGCGTTTGTGCGCGTGTGCGCGTGGGCGCGCGCGCGTGGCGCGCGCGGTGGGCGCGGCTGTGCGTGCACGTGGGCTCGTGCTCGTGCGCGTGCTCGTGCGTGCGCCGTGTCTGCGTGCGCGTGCGCGTGCGCGTGCGCGTGCGCGTGCGCGTGCGCGGGTGGGCGGTCGCGCGTGCGCGTGGGTTGTGTGGGCGTGTGTGCGCTGTGCGTGTGCGTGCGGAGTGCGCGCGTGCGCGTGGGTGCGCTGGCGTGCGCGCGTGCGCGTCTGCGTGTCTGTGCGCGTGTCTGTGCGCGTGTCTGTGCGCGTGTCTGTGCGCGTGTCTGTGCGCGTGTCTGTGCGCGTGTCTGTGCGCGTGTCTGTGCGCGTGTCTGTGCGCGTGTCTGTGCGCGTGTCTGTGCGCGTGTCTGTGCGTGTCTGTGCGCGTGTCTGTGCGCGTGTCTGTGCGCGTGTCTGTGCGCGTGTCTGTGCGCGTGTCTGTGCGCGTGTCTGTGCGCGTGTCTGTGCGCGTGTCTGTGCGCGTGTCTGTGCGCGTGTCTGTGCGGCGTGTCTGTGCGCGTGTCTGTGGGCGTGTCTGTGGGCGTGTCTGCGTGCGTGTCTGCGTGCGTGTCTGCGTGCGTGTCTGCGTGCGTGTCTGCGTGCGTGTCTGCGTGCGTGTCTGCGTGCGTGTCTGCGTGCGTGTCTGCGTGCGTGTCTGCGTGCGTGTCTGCGTGCATGTCTGCGTGCGTGTCTGCGTGCGTGTCTGCGTGCGTGTCTGCGTGCGTGTCTGCGTGCGTGTCTGCGTGCGTGTCTGCGTGCGTGTCTGCGTGCGTGTCTGCGTGCGTGGTCTGCGTGCGTGTCTGCGTGCGTGTCTGCGTGCGTGTCTGCGTGCGTGTCTGCGTGCGTGTCTGCGTGCGTGTCTGCGTGCGTGTCTGCGTGCGTGTCTGCGTGCGTGTCTGCGTGCGTGTCTGCGTGCGTGTCTGCGTGCGTGTCTGCGTGCGTGTCTGCGTGTCTGCGTGCGTGTCTGCGTGCGTGTCTGCGTGCGTGTCTGCGTGCGTGTCTGTGTGCGTGTCTGTGTCTGTGTCGTGTCGTGTCTGTGTGCGTGTCTGTGTGCGTGTCTGTGTGCGTGTCTGTGTGCGTGTCTGTGTGCGTGTCTGTGTCGTGTGCGCGTGTCTGTGTGTCTGTGCGCGTGTCTGTGCGCGTGTCTGTGCGCGTGTCTGTGCGCGTGTCTGTGCGCGTGTCTGTGCGCGTGTCTGTGCGCGTGTCTGTGCGTGTCTGTGTGTGTGTTTGTGTGTTTGTGTGTTTGTGTGTTTGTGCGTTTGTGCGTTTGTGCGTTTGTGCGTTTGTGCGTTTGTGCGTTTGTGCGTTTGTGCGTTTGTGCGTTTGTGCGTTTGTGCGTTTGTGCGTTTGTGCGTTGTGTGCGTTTGTGCGTTTGTGTGTTTGTGTGTGTTTGTGTGTTTGTGTGTGTTTGCGTGTTTGCGTGTTTGCGTTTTCGCGTGTTCGCGTGTTCGCGTGTTCGCGTGTTCGCGTGTTGGTGTGTTGGCGTGTTGGTGTGTTGGTGTGTTGGTGTGTTGGTGTGTTGGTGTGTTGGTGTGTTGGTGTGTTGGTGTGTTGTTGTGTTTGTGTGTTTGTGTGTTTGTGTGTTTGTGTGTTTGTGTGTTTGTGTGTTTGTGTGTTTGTGTGTTTGTGTGTTTGTGTGTTTGTGTGTTTGTGTGTTTGTGTGTTTGTGTGTTTGTGTGTTTGTGTGTTTTTGTGTTTTTGTGTTTTTGTGTTTTGGTGTTTTTTGTTTTTGTGTTCTTGTGCTCTTGTGTTTTTGTGTTTTTTTGTGTTTTTGTGTTTTTGTGTTTTTGTGTTTTGTGTTTTTTGTGTTTTTGTGTTTTTTTTTGTGGTTTTGTGTTTTTTGTGTTTTTGTGTTTTGGCGTTTTTGTGTTGTTGTGTTTTGGTGTTTTTGTGTTTCTGTGTTTTTGTGTTTTTGTGTTTTTGTGTTTTTGTTGTTTGTGTGTTTGTGTGTTTGTATGTTTGTGTGTTTGTGTGTTTGTGTGTTTGTGTGTTTGTGTGTTTGTGTGTTTGTGTGTTTGTGTGTTTGTGTGTGTGTGTGTTTTGGGTTGTTTGCTTGCCTGCTTGCTTGCTTGCCTGCCTGCCTGCCTGCCTGCCTGCTTGCTTGCTTCTTTCCTTCTTTCTTTCTTTCTTTCTCCAAGAGGGGACCCAACAAAAGGCACTCAAAGGAACTCTATTGGCCCCAAATAGGCCTCATTGGTCGTTGTGAATTCCTTGCCCCTGCCCTTGATAACCACAGGATTATCATTGGTGCAGGTGGGATCTAAGACAAAAAGGGGGCCCAACCAGAAGTGTACAATCCCTCTAAAACAAGGGGGCGCTTGTCAAAAGGCGACCCCTGGTTTCCTGATCTTGGGAAATGGTGGGCCCATACCTCCACTGCTTTCGGTATATAGGTTTCAAAGCGGAACCTCAAGTGAACCAGCCAACAGGACATGCCCCAAACGGGCATCTTGCGCTTTCTTGAACCCAAAAAACGATTCCGAGCTCCCCGCGCGAAGCCCACGGCCATGGCTCTTGTAGCTCCGGTTGGTGTCGCCATAGGCGACGACTCGGAAGGTGAGAAAACTTTCAGCTTTCGTATGAATTGGATTGGTGAGCTTAGGGAGTTTCCCATCCCTGAAGAGCCAGCTCAAACAAACTTGCCTGAAACTTCGGGCCAACATGTTGGGCCATTATTGGTGGAAAGAACTCTTTCTGCACCAAAGTCGGTCATCCCCATGGCAAGCTTATCACTCCCAAGGTTTCCTTGGTGCCCAGGCCCACCCGGCTATTGCTTCACGTTCTTGCCGGGCAGGTGTTCATATCTTTTCCGTTGGGCAGCGTCGTTTGGGCGCTGATGATAATGGGCCGAGACGGTCAGAAGTTTCTTCGAAGCTCCAAGAGGCTCATGGCATCTTCGCCAGACCACGCTTGAAAGGGTAGCTGGGCAAAGAACACCCTGGAGGGCACCATTGTGTGCCCACCAACTCTCAACCATCAAATCAAATCACGTATCACAAAGACAATGGGCAGGAGCCTATATGTGTTTCTTCAAAACCCTGCATCGCAAACAGGAAGCGCATCCTTCTTTATTGACAACCCAAATGAAGATAACGACACACAACCAACAAACAACTGCATATGCCCTTGTGGAGAGGATGGGATTCTTTGGTTGCTTGAGCTCAAAGGGAAGCCCTTCGAAGCAAAGCAGAAAAGGCAACTCTGGGCAAATGGGAACAAAGTCATGAGGAAGGGACTGCAGGTTGAGACAAAGCAAGGTCCCTTGGAATATGAGCGATTTTTCCTCCAAATGGACCTGCTTTCCCCGCAGATTCAAGTGAGGAAACCCATAAATGGGCGGGTTCACTTCGGATCCTTCGGATTCCCTGCAAAAAACAAAATACAAAATTCCAACCCTCGCAAAAAATCATACCCCTGTGCAACCCAAGTAAACGGCAAACCGCCAATCCAAACTTCCGGCTGCAACTGGCAAGGGCGAACGGTAGGTCAGGAAGTTGGTCTTTGCTTCTCGCCTTCCCTTTAAAACCTGAGCGCGACTCAAATGGTTGGTTTTTCTAGCGCTTGTGTGCAGTTCATGCGAGTATTCTTACAATTCCCAAGGACTTGTGGGGGCTGTTCAAACATCTTCACTGAGAGCAAGCAAGCACGTGCCCCTCCAAATCTCTGGTCAAAATCAACGCTTCTTGAGTTGATTGACCTCCTTGCCTAAGCTAACTAACAACGAAAGGATTGAACGTGTGCACTCCTATGATCAGATCTAACAACAAAAAGCTTCAAGTTTGGAAACTGAACAAATAAAAATCCTCTTCAAAATGTAGATATCCCAACCAAGTTTGGCAGCCGGATTCACAGAAGCGTTTCAGTCCGTTCGTCCCCCATCCACTAGTCACCGGAGTTTGGAACCATACTAGTGGCTAGTGGCTGAATTGCGGTTCCTTAACATCACCCCAAAAACTCCCTTTGACATAGGGAAAAGCTGAGGTTTCAATCACCCAACGAAATGTTCGTGGGTGGCAGGGCCCGTTCCTCCGGCCAGCTGTCCAAGGCCCGAACTACCGATCTTGCGCTCTCCGTACTTGTCCAGGATCTCAGAGGGGCTCATTCTAGGGGCGATTCCTTCTTCTTTTCAACATTCTACGGGGTGGTGTCATGTTTGACTGGGACCCTTTCCCAGCTTCGTGTTGTAAAACGGACCCGGTCCCTTTGAGGCCCTTTCGGCAAATCGATGGTCGTAAAATCCATTTCAAGAGGACTTCAAGTGGATCCGAAAGATCCGGGGGAAGTAGTACATGAAGACGCAGGAGTGGGTTTCCAGCCCCGGGCTAGACAAAGAACTAGAACCCTTTTTAGGGTCAAACATGTCTAAAGGGGAACCCGCCCTCGAGGCCCTCGAGGGTGCCGCTGGACATCCAGAGGTCATGTCCACTGGAAGGATTCGATTCGGGGTGCGTTCAATTATCTCGAGGTGAAGTTGCCTGAGGCCTTTGCAGCTTTTCAACGCCGAATTGTATTGTCCCTCATATGTCTGGCGTGGGGATTGGTGGATTGGAGGATTGGTGGATTGGGTGGATTGGGTGGATTGGGTGGATTGGGTGGATTGGGTGGATTGGGTGGATTGGGTGGATTGGGTAGATTGGGTCGGTGGTTTGGCTGTTGAGTTGAACCCACCCCGCTTGAAATGATTAAAGTGCCCCAGGAAACGTGGCATTGAATCAGAAAAAGGACAAGGTCACAGTTGCATCCTCTCTCCTCTGTCTGGATTTGGGGCGAAGTCAAAAGGAGAGAAACATCAACAAATTGGTATGTCCAAACAGGTTTACACCCCTCCCAACTGATGGTTTTCCAGGTTGGTTTCCCTTTAAACCAAGGTACCCTCAAAAAACAGATACCCAAATGGCCGGTCCCAATGACTCTGTCCTCATGGACAGATACAGACTAAGCCGTCTGCGAATTTGCGCCTCAGCAAGTAGTCTTTCATGTGCTCGCCTGGCCGCGGGCGAGCAAATTTCCGTTGTCCGAGTAACAGCTAGCAGTTTCCCCGGCTGAGATGGGGCTTCCCCAGCTGTTCGTTGCTGGAAAAGGAAGTCCGCCTGGAAGTTTCGGGAAAAACAGCTGGCACTAGACATAGAAAGCTGACAAACTACAGTCCAGGAACTCAGGAAGCGAGGTGCCATGTTTGAGAGAACTCCCCGTCACGTGCCGATTCCGGCCTCGCTGGTCCATGGCGTCGATCTCCGCCTGCCTCTGCCGCAACTCCTCCTCGCATGAGAAATCCCAAGCGAGGGGGGCACGTCTCCTTTTCTTTGGGCGGGACCCACGAAATGGCAACGGCCGTCCTTTGTTTTTCTGGAAAACCATCCCAAACAAAATGCCCTCCAAAAACGACACAGGAATCAAACAAAAACTTGTAGAGGAATGTCCTTTGGGGGGACGCTCCCATGTTAATTTGCGCAGTACGGACATCTGCAGTTGTATCCATTCCAACTTGTGCAGTTTGTCCATCCACAACTTGGGTGGGATTCAAGTTCGTCTGCGCAAATTATGATTCCAAAGCTAGAAGCAAGGAATCCCAGTCAAGGATCTTCACGAGTGAGTTTATTCTTTCCAGGGCCCAGATCGGGTATACCCCCCCCAAAAAAAGGAAAGGAAAACAAACAAGCCCGAACAGCCAAAAAACAAAATCACTGGGAATGCGGAGAGAAACAACAACACCGGCAAAAGAAGCCAAGAGCAACACACCTACAGCAGGCAAAACAAAAACGGCCTCTTCGCTTCGAGCGCTCGGCCTTGAGGCGTGGAAGCTCCGCCAGCAAGGCGTGCCACTCCTCCTTGCCTCGCACGTGCGGGCGCTCGTCGCTTTCGGTGAGGCCAAAAGGGCACCCTTTGTGGGTCGGGAAAAAGGGGGACCAACAGGAAACCGAGGAGGACCAACCAAAAAAAAGCGACACCCCATTTTGAGGTCTTTCCCGATTTTGAGACAGACCCAGGTGACAAAGAAGGGATTTGGACCCTGCAAGATGGAGTTCGTGTTTTGCTTTTGACTTTCCGCTAAACTAACAAAGGGTGCCCTCCACACACAATATGTGCCAAAATAGAGGGGACCCCGACAATGGGTGGGTTCCCTTGTGACCCAGGTGCCGACCACGGAATCAAACTGCTGGACTTTGATTGCGGGGAGCAACCCGCTTGAGAGAAGACCCTTCCCTTTTGAGGGACACCCCGCCCCCCGAATCTGCCAGGTTGATATGAGCTTGGTAAAAATCCCCAAAAACATTGGAATTTTCTCGGTGGCCCCGTTGCGGAAAATTCACTGAGCCATGCATGTCCCACAAATGGACCATAGAATATCGGATTTGTTGCCCAAACCATTCCATGGTGGGTCTGCATTGGAGTCATGACCATGCGGAAGCCTTCTAGCAAAGCGGGGAGACAGATGTGTGGCTGGTCGAACGGAAAGGCTAAAACGGTGCAGCCCAGCTGCTGGAAGAAGACTTGGAACCCTTGCTGGTAGATTCCCCCTGTAAAACTG